CTGGGGAGGAGGTGCTGACGCGGCCCGGAGCTCCCGACCTTACCTATGCCTGGGGGTAATGATCCCTCCCGGATCCACTTGGGATGGACCCCGGGCTTCCAGACGCCGATCTCTTCGCCACGCGAGGGGGTCGTTGGGAGGTGGTGGCCGCGCTGGTGCGCGGCGGCGCCGACGCGGCGGCGCCCGACGCCGCCGGCGCGTCCCCGGCGCACTGGGCCGCCCGGGCGGGCGAGGCGGGAGCGCTGCGGGCGCTGCGGGCCGCCGGGGCGCCGCTGGGCGGCGCGGCGGCGGGCGGCCGCACGCCCGCGCACGAGGCGGCGGCGGCGGGGCACGCGGAGGTGATCAAGCTGCTGGCCAAGGCGGATGTGACGATCGAAGCCCTCCTCCGCCCTCCTCCTCCTGCTCCTCCTCCTGCTCCTCCTCCTCCTCCTCCTCTTCCTCCTCCTCCTCCTCCTCCTCTCCAGAGGAAGGAAGGACCCAGACCCCCTTGCGTGGTGAAGAAGTCGCGACGGGAGGCGTCGGCCTCCAGGGGCCCTCTTACCCGGCCTCGGGGCCGTCAGCAGAACGTTCGGCTCGGGACGAAGCAGCGGTCACCCGGAGAAGGGGTCCAGGCCTCTGGGGGTGGACGTTGTGGAAAAGTCACGGCGTCGGGGGTCTGGGGGGTACGATGCCCAACAGCAGTTCCTGCTCCTTTTGAAAAAAAGACTCGCGGACCCCACCGCGGACGTTGTGCCTTGGAGACAGAAAGCCGCCTGCCCGACAGCGGCCGCTGTCGGTTTTGGAGAACATTCGTTGTTGGGCATGGTACCATTTTTTCCGTTCCCATTTCGGGCGTCCGAAAAGGCGGAGGTCACGATGGTGGTGCGCGACGACGCAGGCTCTTCCCAACATCTTATCGCGTCGTAGCAAAACATTGTGCGGAAGGTTTTTGGTCGTTCTCGGCCTCGGGGGCCCTCGCCTGGCCTCGGGGCCGTCAAAATACGATTCGGGATGGAAAACCAGTCCTGGGGAAAGGGTCGGGACTTCCAGGGACCCGGTCTTGAAAAAATCAGGACGTCGCATGTCTGGGTTGGCTGCCCCGATACGCCCGTGTTGACCCTGAGATCCTGGCGTCGCAAGTTTCTCGCGCCGGGCGTTTTCGCCTGGTTCTGGGCCCCCGGGCCCTCGCAGATCGATCTGGTTCGAAACACTGCGCAGAACGATGGTGTCCAGGGCGCTGGTCGTGATTCTTCACGCTGTTGCCATTGTTTCGCAACGTCGGCGGCTACGCGTAGAGGGGGGTAGGGGGCAGAGGGGAAGGCTTCCCAGAAGCACCCCTGCTGCCTAGGAGGCGCGGGCCTTCGCCGCAGATGTAGGGCTAGCGCCTTCTCAGAAGCCTTCTGAGAAGCAGCTTCCTCCTAGGAAGCTTTCCCTCCTCCCCCTACCCCCAGACATGCGACGTCCTGATGTTTTAGCTACGGGGCCCCTGGAAGTCCCGACCCTCTCCCCAGCACCTTCTGGGAAGGGCCGGCGCCTTCTGAGGAGCAGCCTCCTCCAAGAGAAGCCTTCCCCCATCCCCCCCGTACCCCCCCTTTTGTGCGGGCTGGGAACCTCAGCTGCCCCGACACGCCCGTGCCGAGACGCAGCGCGTGCCGTTTCCAAACGGTTCCTGCTCGCGCGGCGGACGTGCCGCGCCAGCCTGCGCTTCCGGTCTGCGTGCGGGGCTCCGTGCCGACACGCCACGGGCTGCGTGCTGCGCCTCGGGGCCGCCCCGGAGATCCGGCGCTGCAGAATCACGCAGCATCGCGAGAGATCACGACCGGGGCCCCAGACCCCAGACCCGTTCCCAAGCAGGTTCCTGCTCGCGCGCTGCGTGTCGGCTCGGCGCGTGTTGGCCCCACGGCGTGTGGCGGACGCGCCGCGCCAGGCTGCGCTTCCGGTCCACTTGCTGGGCTCCGTGCCAGCACGCCACGGGCTGCGTGTGGCGCAGCGGGGCAGCCCCTGAGATCCGACGCTGCAAGATCACGCGACATCGCGAAAGATCACGACCGGGGCCCCGGACCCCATCGATCTGCGGCACGCGTCGAATGCCAGACCCACCCCGACGTCGGTGGTTGTTCGCAACGTCGACCCCCAGAGGTCTGGACCCCTTCCCCCGGAGCGGTTTCTCGCCCCCAGCCGTTCTTGCGCGGTCCCGAGGGCCCGGTGGGGGTCCCCCCGAGGCGGACAATAGCGAAAAACTTCCCGTCGTGGTTTTTGTTCACAGAGCTGCTGACGCGGCCCAGAGTTCCAGACCTGTTCCCTGGGGGGTACTTTTCATCCCTGATCCATTTGGGATGGTCCCGGGGCCCGGTGACGGGCCCGGAGGCCGAAATCCAGGGAAAACGCCCAGATCGAAAAGATCGTACCTCCTCGCAGCTCCTGGGTTCGATCCTGGCCCCCCCCCCCCGAGGCCGACCAGAGCGAACAACCTCCCGTCGTGATTTTTTTCACGACGCGAGGAGGTCTTTGGGATCTCGGGGGCGAGGCTCTAGGCCTCCCAGATGGGGTCCGAGCAGATGGGGTCGGAGGCTTGCGCCGCATCGGCGATGCATCGGCAATGCGGCTCGATGTGAAGCCTGATTTTCTCCACTTTGGCGTCGCCGCTGCATCGCCGATGTCGCCGATGCATCGCCGATGTCGCCGACGCATCGCCGATGCGGCGCGATCCTCCGACCTCATCCAGGAGGCCCATCTGGGAGGCCTCATTTGCTCAGACCTTCTCTGGGATCCTCCGGCCCAATCGGCTCCGACTCCGCGGCTGCTGGCACCAGACTTGCCCTCCAATTGGTGCTCGTAAAGGGATTTAAGATTCTACTCATTCCAATTACAAGACGATCATGCCCTGCATTGTTATTTCTTGTCGCTACCTCCCTGTGTCAGGATTGGGTCATTTGCGCTCCTGCTGCCTTCTCTGGGAGGCCTCCTTAGAAGCGCAGGCCTGATGCCCGCGCACCTCGCGGCGGCCGCGGGCCGCGTGCGGTGCCTGCAGGCGCTCGCGGCCCTGGGCGCCTCCCTCGCGGTGGAGGCCGCCGACGGCCGCACGCCGGCGCACGCGGCGGCCGCCGAGGTCGGAGCCGGCGACCCCAGGCATGATCCTTGGCATCGCTCGGACGTGTGCATTCTTTCTCGGCGAGAACCATCGAGGACCATCCTGGACCATCGAGCAAACAAAAACACGCGCGAAGCCAACAAATGCACGGGAAATGGACGTCCCAGCGACGGCAAGGACCGCGTCGTTGAACAGAAATGAGGGCGGGAGGCTTTGGACCGTTTTCGGCCTCGGGGGGCCCTCGCTGGGCCTCGGGGCCGTCCGGAAACGACTCGGGATGAAAAACCGGTCCTGGGGAAAGGGTCGGGACATCCAGGGAACCCGCATTGAAAAAATCAAGACGTCGCCTGTCTGGGACAGCAAGCTGAGCAGAGAAAGAGAGAGAGAGAGAGAGAGAGAGAGAGAACAAAAAAAGGGCGGGGCGCGCCTGGAGGAGGAGGGTCGAGGAGGAGGAGGAGGTGGAGGAGGAGGAAGAGGAGGGGGGCAAGCGTAAACCCAAGAGTCATCGACGATGTTGGAATAGACCCTCCCTCCAAGCTCCTTCTTCATAGGCCCTTACAACGGTTCACTCCCACTGAAGGAACTGCCTCGTTGGAAGATAACCGTTTGAAGACCCAGAGGCATGGCAAGAGATTATTTTGGGGACTCCAACGCCACGGTTCCACCTGACTGTTGTGTCTTGACGATCCTGAATCGCGCCAGAACGTCATTCCTGGGGCTTCAACACCGAGAGTCAACGTAACTGTGGCATTCTTATAATCTGGAAACTCTCCAAAACGCCATTTCTGGAACGTTGATCATGGGAGTCCGTGAAATTCTTGCAAATGTTTAAACGTATGTGCGCGGCGGGAAGGCGAAAACCATATTTTGACAAGGATCCGCTCTCAATCTGTGGAGTTCGTGCAATGTTTGAAAACGAATGTACGCGGCGCTAAGCGAGAGCCACATTTCGAAAACCGCCCGCCTTCAATTTGTGAAGCTCGTGCAATGTTCTAGAACGAATGTGCGCGGCGCTAAGGCGAGAGCCGCATTTTGAAAACTACCTGCTCTCAATCCGCGAAGCTCTGGCAAACTTCTTAAACGAATGTGCGCGGCGCTAAGGCGAGAGCCACATGTTGAAAACCTCCCGCCCTCAATCCGTGAAACTGTTACAACTGTTTTAGCTTCAGGGTCATAAATTGTGAGGATGTCTCAGGCGAAACGCCTGGCTCGCCCAAAAACAGGCTCAGGGTGCGACAGAAGTTATTTACGTGGAAAAGGAGTGGAGGGGGAGGAGGAGGAGGACGAGGAGGAGGAGGAGGAAACGAGGGATGATGATGATGATGATGATGATGATGAGTTTTTGGTGATGATTGATGAGATGATGAGCGATGAGGATGGAGAAAGTGGATGAGTGATTGATGATGATGATTGATGATGATGAGGAGAGGAGGAGGAGGAGAGGAGGAGGAGCGGAACGGGTTGGAGAAAAGCATGAGATGGAGGAGGAGGGGAGATCCTCGGATCTCCTCCTGTCTCTCATCCTCTTCCTCTACATCCTCCTCAGTCACTCATCAACCTCCTCCTTTTTTCCTCCTCCTCCTCCTCCTCCTCCTTGTCCTCCTCGTCCTCGTCCCCTCCTCCTCCTCCTCCTCCTCCTCCTCCTCCTCATCCTCCTCCCTCTCCAACCTCCTCACCCTCCCCCTCCTGAGCTTACACTGGCACTCGCGACACTCTGCCTCCTCCTCCTCGCCCTCGACTCGCTCCTGCTGCGCCGTCCTCCCCGTTCGCCGGATCTTGCGAACGGGGGTCGGGCAGAGTGCCGGATCTTGCAGGATCCTGCAGAGCCAGGAGTGCATTGACCCGGGCTTGCGTGCAGGGTCTGGCGGGATCCTGCAAAGCTTGATTGTCTCGGGTTTGGATTGGCCTGGGTGAGTGGATCCCCGGTGAGGGCCAGCCCGCCGTCGTGGAGCTCCTGGCCGCCTACCAGATCCCGCTCGACTGCCAGGACCCAGACCCAGACCCTCCCGCGCTGTGAAGAACAAACACGACGGGAGGTTTTTGGCTATTGTCGGCCTCCTGGGGGCCTTTACCTGGCTTCGGGGACCGTCCAAAAAACGACTCGGGATGCAAACTGCATGGTCCCGAGGAAGGGGTCCAGACCTCTGGGGGTCGACGTTGTGAAAACATCACGACGTTGGGGGTCTAGGGGCCTTCCCATGAGATCTGGGCTTGGCAGTTTGTGTTGCGACTCCTTTTTTCGGGGAAGCGGAAGATTCGAGCTTGCTGGAGTTGAGATGAAACTGAATGGAGTGATGGGCGCCATCGTTTCGAATCTCATGCTGAGCTGTGAGCCAAGCAATGCCGCAGAGCATGGAATGAGCACAAGAAGAGAACGGGGTCGTCCTCACCGACATTGACGCGTAAGCTGCCCTCGTTTCCAATGCGGCGTGCCACGCTGGCGGCCCGCGTAAGCCGCGGCGTAGGCAAAAGCCCGAACGCCAGAAATCGCCACAGAACCTCGGGAAACCGTTTAGCCCGAAACCCGGAAACGCCGTCGCCCGACCTCCGGCACCGGACGCCTGACCCCCAGAATTCGTCTCGCGCCCGCCCAGGTCCGCCCCGATTCGCCGCCCGACCCGCCCGCCCGTCAGGGTCCGTCCGCCCGACCCGACCCGTCCGTCAGGGTACGCGCGTGCTGCCCCGAGTATGCCCCGCCCGATCGACCCGCCACTTTCATGTTCCGCCGCGCGACCCACCGCCCGCCCGTCCGCCCGCGCGCCTGTTAGGACCCTGCCAGCCGCCTCACCCGCCTGCCCGTTAGGGATCGCCCGCCCGCCCCGTCCCGCTTGCGAGTGGCGTGCGCGTGCTATCTCTATCACGCGTCATGCTTTAATGTCCCGCCAGCCCGACCCGCCGCCCGCCCGCTAGCCCGCCCGCTCGAACCACCGCCCGCTCGCCCGCCCGCCTGTCAGGGCCCCGCTCGGCGCCGGACCGGGGTCCGGCCGCCCGACCCGACCCGTCCGTCAGGGCACGCGCGTGCTACCCGCCCGATCGACCCTAATTCAATGCGCCGCCCGCGCGACCCGCCACCCGCCCGCCCGCTCGCCTGCGTGCCCGTTAGGGGCCTGTCCGTCGCCCGACCAGCCTGACTGTTAGAGTCCGCCCGCCCGACCCGACCCGCCTGTTAGGGCACGCGCGTGCTACGCCGATCATCCGCCGCCCGCTCGCGCGCCCGCGCGCTCGTCAGGGTCTTCCCGCCGCCCGACCCGCCTGCGTGTTAAGGCCCGCCCGCACGCCCCCGAGCCGCCTGTGAGGGCACGCGCGTGCCGCCTCGATCATGCGTCGCACTTTCATGCCCCGCCCGCCTTACCCGCCGCCCTCCCGCCCGCCCGCCCGTCAGGGCCCCGATTCGCCGCCCGACCCGCCCGCCCGTCAGGGTCCGTCCGCCCGACCCGACCCGTCCGTCAGGGTACGCGCGTGCTGCCCCGAGTACGCCCCGCCCGATCGGCCCGCCACTTTCATGTTCCGCCCGCGCGACCCGGCGCCCGCCCGACCCGCTGGCGGTCCGGGCGCGGGGGGGGGGGCTATATATAGGGAGAGGTTTGCACGCCCGGGGCGGAGGGCAGAGCCTGCCCGCCGCGGAGGGGGGGGGGGGGCGGGGCGCCCCCCCGCCTCCCCCGGCAGAATTCCAAGAGTTCGCGGTCAGCACCGCATTCAGGGACAGGTTTGCACTCCCAGGGCGGGGGGCAGAGCCAACCCGCGGCGGGGGGGCGGGGCGGGTGCCCCCATCACGGGAACCCTCAGGGCGCCACCCCCCCTTCAGAAAATCAAAGATTTCGCGGTTCGCGCCGCGTGGGGCCCCCCCGCGTTCAGGGCGATGTTGGCGCCGCTGGGGCGGGGGGCAGAGCCGGCCCGCCACCGGAGGTTTGGGCGGGGGCCTCCGCTGGACGCCTCCCCCCGCAAAATCGCAAGATTTCGCGGTTGGCACCGCATTCGTGGTGAGGTCTGTTTGCGTTCAGGGAAAGGATTGCACGCGGGGCCCGGGGGCAGAGCCGCCGCATGGGGCGGGCGGAGGGGGAGGGGGCGCGGGAGGCCCCAGGGTGCAAACTTCCCGCGGAGTCGAAAGATATCGCGGTTCTTGCCGCACCTGCAGGGAGAGATTAGCACCCCCGGGTGGGGTGCAGAGTCAACCCGCGCGGGGTGGGCGGAGGGGGGGCGCTCGAGCAGGCTCAGGGTGCAAACCTCCCGCAAAATCAAAAAATCTCGCGGTTCGCGCCGCATTTTGGGAGAGGTTTGCACCCCCTGGGCGGGGGGCAGAGCCCGACGGGGCAAGGGCCTGCGGGGAAGCCCCGGAGCGCAAACCTGACGTAAAATTGAAAGATGTCGCGGTGGGCGCTGCAGTCGAGGAGAGGTTTGCACCCCCGTGGCAGGGGGCACAGCCAGCCCGCAGGGGGTGGGCGGGAGGGGGGCGCCCGCGGGAGGCTCCAGGGTGCAAGCCTCCCGCAAACTTGAAAGATATCGCGGTTGGCGCCGCACTGAGGGCAAGGTTTGCGCCCGGGGCGGGAGGCGGATCAGCGGGAGGGGGAGGGGGGCACCCTGGGGCTGGCCGTACTTCTCGGTGCGTTTAGAGGTCGGCGGGTCTAGGGCTGGGGTGGGGGGCAGGGCCAGCCTGATGGGGAGGCGGGAGGGGGCCACGAGGGTGGGGTGCCCAGGGAATTGACCGAGGAAAAGGAGGAGGAGGAGGAGGAAGGAAGGAAGGAAGGAAGGAAGGAAGGAAGGGAGGAAGGATACGAGGACGAGGAGGAGGGCGAGAGCTCGCGTGCCACCCTCAATCTTGCATCACGTTTCTCAACCTCCCGCCCGACGAGCCGACCCGACTCCCTGACCCAACTCGCCCGTTGGGGCCCCGACCGCCCGACCGGAGCCGCCTGCGAGGCTCGGCCCGACGCGAACCGGCCCGCTCGTGAGGGTTCCTGCGGGCAGCCCCGCTTACTCGGGAGCGGAAAAGAGGGGGGGGGATGACTAGGGGGGGGGGGGGATTTCAGGGCGCGGGCCACGATTTTCCCTCAGCTTTCGTGGCGCCCCTCCTTGTTTCATGACGTCCCTGGCCCCCCCGCTGGGCCGCGCACGTGCCGACGGTCATGATTTGCACCCCCCCCTCTTGGACACCCCCCTCCTTGGCCGCTCCCGGCTCACGTGCGATACTCTTACGTGCCGCCCGCCCGACCTCTCTCGTCCTGCGGGCGTGCCGGGGAGCCCTGGGGCGGGCCCACTCTGTAAGAACGGTTTTTTGAAGGCAGATCTGCCTCCAAAAAATGGTTTTTTGAGGGCAGATCTGCCCTCAAAAGACCGTTCTTACAGAGTAGACCAGTCTTTCCTCCTTGCAGTTTGAGCGCGGGGGAGCTCTGGAGGAGGGCCAAGGGAGCATCTTTGAACTTCCGAGGAGGAGCATCTGTTCCCGGATTCGGTGGAGAGTTTCCAGAGTTCGTCCCCGCGCTTCTGGGATTCGGCCCGGCGTTCCCCATTTTCGGCTTTCCAGGATTCAAGCTTGAATTTACGGCATACGCCCCTCGACCCGCGGCGTCGGCTCCCCTTGCCGTAATGCTCAAGTCCGTTTCTGTCCGTCGATCAGGTCTTACCCTCAGATCCGGGCGTTGCAGTTTGTTCACGCAGGGCGCCGTCCTCGGGTTTCGGTCCTTGGAGGCACCACGTTTCGATCTGGCTTGAAGAATGCCGCAGAAAGATGGGGCCTATTTGGCTCTGGTCGTGCTTTTCCGCGATGGTGCAATTTTTGCTGCAACGTTGACCCTCTGTAACGCAACGTTTGATCGCGTTCGACTGCCGATCCAGCGACTTCACTTTTCCAATACGGGCTCCCCAGAAGTCTCGAGCCACTCCAGGGGACCAGCCGAGGGCTCTGGCCATTCCTGACCCAGGGTGGACCACATGCCAATCTCACCCAGGGTCACTCTGGCGTGTAGCCTGAACGATCGAACAGCAAAAGGCGGCGTAAACGAAAACGTTCGGAGGTCTGCGAGACTGGGCACCGGCCCAGTCTCGACGCTCCAGGTGGACCCCCAATCCCCAGACCCTCGACGTCGTCATTCTTTCACGAACCTCAGAGGTCTTTGACCCCTTCCCTGGGAGCGGTTTTTCATCCCGAGGCGTTTTCTGACGGTCCCGAGGCCAGGTAAGGGCCCCTGGAGGCCGAAGACACAGAAAGACCTGCTGTCGTGTCTTTTTTTTTCGCAGCGCGAAGGGGCCTGGGCCCTGGGCCATATTTTGACGGTTCTGGGGCCGGCCGAGGGCCCCTGCGATGGGCTCGGGAGCCCTGAGACGGGGGTCAATGCAAATGGGGGTCGGCCGGGGCAATGGATCTTGCAGGGTCTTGCGAAGACCCCCTCTGGCTGACCCGAGTTAGCGAGCCGCTCGTGGCCGCGAGGCGGCCGCGCCTGTTGGTTGACCCGGGTTTGCGAAGACCTGCGTTGCAGTGCTTTTTTCCTGCATTGCAGTTTTTGGGTTTCCTGCTGACCCGGGTCTGGACTGACCCGGGTCAGAATATCCCCGATGGACCTCCTTGGGAGCCACGCCGTGATTTGCCAGGACCTGGACGGCAGCACGCCGATGCACCTGGCCGCGGCGGAGGGCCACGCGCACACGCGGGAGCCTCAGCTGCCTCGCTGCGCCCGTTTTGAAACGCACCGCGTGCCCCAGAAGAGATCGCGTCGTAACAAAAAGGAGGACGGGGGGGTTTGGGCCGTCTTCGGCCTCGGGGGGCCCTCGCCGGGCCGCGGGGCCGTCAAGAAGCGACTCAGGACGAAAAACCGGTCCCGGGGAAAGGGTCGGGACTTTCGGGCTGGGCAAAAGGGGGGGATTGGGAAAGGGGGGGGTACGAAATTTGCTGCATGCAGCTGGTTTCGGCCTCACCGAGGGGCCCGTTCCTCGATACATAGCCGCCTCTGGCGCCGGGAGGCGCCGGGAAAATCAGCTACGTGAGCTGATTCTCAAACCCCCCCTTGCTATCCCCCCCCTTTCGCCCGACCCGAGACTTCCAGGGACCCCGTGCCGAAAAAATCAGGACGTCGCATGTCTGGTCCCAGACCCCCTATCGCGTTGACACGACGGGAGGTTTTTCGTTATTTTCGGCCTCCGGGGGCCCTTCTCGGGACTCGGGGCCGTCAAAGAACGACCCAGAAGGAAGAACCGGTCCTTGGGAAGGGGTCCAGACCTCTGGGGGTCGACGTTGTTAAAAAATCACGACGTCGGTGTACCGTGTTCAAGACGTGCGTGCTAAGACGCTGCGCATTGGCTCGGCAGGATTGCATCGGGGCAGACCTGCGTTTTCGGTCTGCGTGTTGAGCTCTGTGCCAACGCACTGCGTGTTGCGTGTTGCGTACCCAGACATGCGACGTCCTGATTTTTTTGGCACGGGGTCCCTGGAAGTGCCGAGCCTTTCCCAGGGACCTCCTGAGTAGTTTTTTGACGGCCCCGAGGCCTGGCGAGGCCCCCCCGAGGCCGAAAACTGCCAAAAGCCTCCCGTCGCGATCCTTTTCTGACGCGATCCTGTCTGGGACGTGTTGCGTGTCGCGCATCGGGGCAGCCGAGGCTGGAACAGCTCGCGCTCCGCGGCGCCCCGCTGGACGCCCGCGACGCCGAGGGCCGGACGCCGCTGCACCTGGCCGCGGCCGAGGGCCGCCTGCAGGCGGTGGAGGCGCTGGGGGGCCTCGGTGCGGACCCGGGCGCGATGGACGCCTCCGGCAGCACGCCGGCGGACCTGGCCGCGTCTCTGGAGGACGCGGGCTTGTTTTGTGTTCTAGATTGTCTTCTCCTGGGGACCAGAATTCTGAGGATCTCTCAAGTGAAGTGCTTGTTTTCACGTGCCCAGGTCTTGAGGATGTCTCGAGCGAGACGCTTGGTTTCACGCGTCCAGGTTGCCCAGGCAGATGTCTAGCATGAGGATGTGTTGAGGATATCTCGAGCGAGACGCTTGTTTGCGCGTGTCCAGATTGCCCAGGCGGATGTCTAGCATGAGCATGTGTCGAGAATGTCTTGAGCGAAAGTCGCCACGAAGGAAACCCAGCCCCCCTCGCGTTGCGACAAAGTCACGGCGGAAGGTTTTCGCGGCGTTCGGCCCCTGGAAGCCTTCGCCAGGCCTCGGGTCCGTCAAGGAACGATTCAGGATGAAAAGCCTTCCCGGGAAAAGGATTGGGACTTCCAGGGATCCCGCATTGCAAAATTCAGGCCGTCGCATGCATGGAAAGGGGGTCAGGGAAGGACAATGTATTTTTGCCGCTGCTCAATCCTGAGAGCTTTCGTCGTCTTGACGGATGAATTGTCCTTGAACTTCTTCACGCTGCCCGTATCCCTGCCGGCCCATTCAGAAACCCTGCCCATGAGACCTGACGGGCAAGGGGACGAAGAGACACGTATAGTGAGACAGAGCGGGCAACCAGGATGAAAAGAGAGATCTCTGAGCGCAAAGGGGTGGCCTCGGAGGGCCTCTTCGGGCCATCCCTGGGGTCCGCGGAAGGGTGAGGGGAGGAGGAGGAGGAGGAGGAGGAGGAGGAGGAGGAGGAGGAGGAGGAGGAGGAGGAGGAGGAGGAGGAGGAGGAGGAGAATGAGGCAAACCGCCTCTTGGGGTCCCAGTGGGAGGCTCTTGGGCGCTCTTGGGGGGCCGTCTTGGGGCCATCTTGGGGCCCTTTCGTGGCTCTCTTGGGGCCCTCTTGGTAGCCGTGGAAGGCCTGGGGCCATTTTGGAGGCCATCGATCAAAAGGGGGGGTCCCCGATTTGCCTCCCCCTGGGGGCCCTCAAAATCGCCTCTCGGGGCCCTCTTGGGACCGGCCTCTTGGGCCATCTTGGGGCAATCTTGAGGCCTCACAAGCACATCGGAAGCAAAAAGGCGAGAAGGCACAAATCATGAATGCCCTTTGGGGGGGTCCTGCGTGGGCTACGACAGCACTTGGAACCGTCTCGTGGCTCTCACCGGGCCTCTTGGAGGTATGTTGGAAGCTATCTTTTGGAGGGTTTCTCCGAAGGGCTTAGGCGAGCAGTCCTCCTCCTCCTCCTCCTCCTCCTCCTCCTCTTTTTCCTCCTCCTCCTCCTCCTCCTCCTCCTCCTCCTCCTCATCATCATCATCATCATCATCACTCCTCCTCCTCCTCTTCCTCCTACTCCTCGCCTTCTTCCTCCTCCCCCTCCTCCTACCCTCCTCCTTCCCTCTCCTCCTCCTCTCTCCTCCTCCTCCTCCTCCCCCTTCTCTTCCTCCTCCTCCTCCTCCTCCTCCTCCTCCTCCTCCTCGTCCTCCGTCTCCTCGGGTCGCCTACGGCCCTGGGGGTAACCGTGCAGCTACATTGAACCATCTTCGGCTATCTTGGGTCATCTTGGAGACCACCTTGAGGCTATCGCGGTGCCACCCGTGCCAAAGGCGGAGCACCTGGAGGGCCAAGCACGGGCACCGCCTACGAGGAGCAGCGCTCTCCTCGGCCGCGCTCAGAACCGGGGTGACGATCGGGCTACTGCCCGGCACAGATCATGGAACGTGGGCGAGAGACGATATTGATTTTTGTTGTTGATCTTTTGGCGCGCAACGGTCCTCCTCCTCCTCCTCCTCCTTCCCTCCTTCTCTTCCTCCTTCTCCTCCTCCCCTCTTCCTCCTCCTCCTCCTCCTCCTCCTCCTCCTCCTCCTCCTCCTCCTCCTCCCATGACTTATTCCCCAAACTCCCCCCCTCTACTTCTCCTCACCCTCCTCCCATTCCCTCCTTCGCCACTTACACCTCTCATCTTCCTCCTCCTCCTCCTCCTCCTCCTCCTCCTCCTCCTCCTCAACATGCTGCTGCTGGCGCGCACACTCTCGCGATCGCAGCGCACCCCCGCCCCGACGTGCCCTACCCCGCGCAAGCGTTACCGTTACCCTGCCCCACCCGGGTAACGACCGTTTCGCGAAACAATAACAAGCAAAGGATCCTGACATCCGCCGATGTGAACTTGTCCATGCGCGGCCCCATAGGGGGGACAGTTCCTCCTGTACTCTATTTGGATCTTCCCGGGGCCCGATAGCAGGACCCAAGGACCGAAATCCAGGGCAACCCGCAAATCATATCGTCGGAGATCTGGGTAGGGAGGAAAGAGGGAGCGGCCGGGGTGCGCGACCGCTCCTGTGGGAGCCCACCGGCAGGCCTGGCCCGTGGCCGGACTGGGGAATCCGACGCTGCGATCAAATTTGTCATCGCAAGACATCACGACCAGAACCCTGGCCCCCATCTTTCTGCTGCATTCTTCCAGCCGGATCGAATTACGATGGCCTTTGGAGGCCCGAAACCGGACGAAGGCGCTTGGTGTGAAGCGAGAAGCAGCGCCCTGATCCCAGGGGAAGACCTGGTTCTTGGCAGTCGAGCGGGATCCGGTAGGCGGCCAGGAGCTCCACGACGGCGTGTTGGCCACGGGGCCCGAAGCCGAGCGAAGACGCCTGGCGCGAAATAAACAGCAACGCCCAGATCTCCGCGTCGTCCCTCGCTCCGCCTCCACTGCCTCCTCCTTCGCCGAGCGCCAGGTGCTCGCCCGCCTCCTCCTCGATCCTCCTCCTCGATTCTCCTCGACCCTCCTCGATCCTCCTCGATTCTCCTCGACCCTCCTCGACCCTCCTCGATCCTTCTCGACCCTCCTCGATCCTCCTCGATCCTCGATTCTCCTCGACCCTCTTCGATCCTCCTCGACCCCCGACGTCGTGTTTTTTTCGTAGCGCCGACCCCCAGAGTCCTCGACCCATTCCCCAGGAGGGGCTCTTCATCCCGAGTCGTTCTTCGACGGTCCCGACGCTATCAGTAGGGGCCCCCCAAGGCTGAAAATGACGAACATGGTGAAATCAAAAGGTACACATACCAATACCGCTACTCCCCGGACCTCTCCCAGGGTGCTTCCCGGTCAGGATTTCGAGGCGCACCCAGCGGTGGCGACGAGTCGTCTCTCGACGGTCCCGAGGCCCGGCGGGGGGCTCCCCGGGTGGCCGAGCGCGGCCAGAGAGGTCGCCCGCCGTGCTCTTCTGTTCACGGCGCGAGGGGGCTTACTTTGCAGCTTCGGGGGGGGGGGGGGGGGGGGCAGTTCTGTCCTCTAACATTTGGAGTCTCTTCTTGTGCTCCGACGTGGGTTCCGCGCGGGCTCGACGTGAATGCGACGTGGATGCGACGCGGGTTCGACCCGGACTCGACACGGACTCGGCGCGCTCGCTGCGGATTCGGCGCGGGTTCGACGCGGCGGACCGCGGCAGGCGAGGCCCCTCGACTACGCAGCATGGGGAGGGGATCTGGGCCCTCCCCGGCTCCTCACCACCCACCAAAGCAGCCCAGCCCCCTCCTCTTCCTCCTCCTCCTCCTCCTCCTCCTCCACCCTCCCTCCCTCCCGCCTTCCCTCCCCCTCCCCCTCCCTCCTCCCTCCCTCCCTCCTGTCCCTCCCCTCCCTCCCTCCTCCAACCCTTTTTTTAAGGCCCCCATTGGCCCCATTTGACCTCCACTACCAGCGGGGAGGGGTGCGTCGGAGAGCATCGGAAAAAAAACGCGCATGGAACCCGCACCCCCAACTCGGCATCTGGGTCTTCGAGCAGGGTCGGTGTTGGTCTGGCAGGTAGTCAGATCCCCTCGATCCTCGCCCCTCGATCCTGGTCCCTCCATTCTCGCCCCTCGATCCTGGTCCCTCGATCCTCGCCCCTCGATCCTCGTCCCTCGATCCTCCTTGTCCCTCCATCCTCGCCCCTCGATCCTCGCCCCTCGAACCTGGTCCCCCCGATGCTCCTCCTCGATCCTCGCCTCTCGGTCCTCGCCCCTCGGTGCTCGCCCCTCGCTCCTCGCCCCTCCATCCTCGCCCCTCGATCCTCGCCCCTCGGTGCTCGCCCCTCGGTGCTCCTCCTCGACGGCCGCGCCGCGGCAGGACGGCGCCGTGCCGCGGGCGCTGGCCGAGCTGTCGCGGCGCGGGCGGCGGCCCGCGCTGCGGCCCCTGCCGGTGCAGGCGGGCCGCCGGGTCGAGGGCGCGGCGTGGTGACGGCGCGCCCGGGGGCGTCGCGGCCGTCGGCGTCGCGGCCTTCGGGTCTGCGCCCGCGCCTCGAGGTGCGCCCCTCGATCCTCGAGCCCCGCACCCTCGATCCTCGAGCCTCGCCCCCTCGATCTTCGCCCCTCGAGGAGTGTCCTCCCCCTCGATCCTCGCCCCTCGATCCTCGCCCCTCGATCCTCCTCGCTCCTCGATCCTCTTCCCTCGATGTTCCTCTCCCCTCGATGTTCCTCGCCCCTCGATCCTCGCCCCTCGATCCCCGCCCCTCGATCCCCCCTCGATCCTTGCTCCTCGATCCTCGCCCCTCGACCCTCGCTGCCCCTCGATGCCCCACGCGGTGGGCACGAGGGGGCCGCTGTCGGTCAGGGGGCCGTTGCTGCTGCTGCTGACGATGATGATGCTGATGATGAGGATGCTGATGCTGATGCTGATGCTGATGCTGATGCTGATGCTGATGCTGATGCTGCTGCTGCTGATGATGATGATGGTGGTGGTGGTGATGATGATGATGATGATGATGATGATGATGGTGATGGTGATGATGATGATGATGCTGATGATGATGATGATGGTGATGATGATGATGCTGCTGATGATGATGATGATGATGATAATGATGATGGGGAAGATGATGATGCTGATGCTGATGCTGATAATGATGGTGATGGTGATGATGACGATGATGATGATGATGCTGATGATGATGGTGATGATGATGGGGATGCTGATGCTGATGATGATGATGCTGATGGTGATGAT